CATTTATTCCTTAATTCATTAACTTCACATGAGAACAAATAGAGCCTATGACTTCTTGGATTATCTTAAAGCTTTTAAAATAGTATCCAGAAATCACTTAGTCATAACAGTGAGAGAGAAATTTAACAAAGCATGCCCTGATAGGTTAATGGGAAATCATAGTCCAGCTTCCCTGCAGCCGTTGATGCATTGTTATGTACATGTCTGTGCCAGATCCTCAGGGTTTAGCGTGGTGCCTGCACTTGGTAGTCTCTGTCTTTGTGGGTCATCCCTGAGCACAGGGGAAGGGCCTGCTTTCTGCAGGCGCCAGTCTGGACCTGCTTTTCTCATTGCACATTGCCACCTACTCCATTCTCAGAGAAGAGTCCTTCCCCCTGACACCAGCAGCGAAATGGGAGGTGGTCTCCTCAGTCCCTTCAGTTGGTTCAGAGAGAGAGTGCCCACCCTTTTCCTGCTTATTAATAGGGAGCTGGCTAAATAAAATGTGGTTCTGTATTGCAGTGAAGGGCAGTGAATTCAATCTCATGTATCAAAATAGGCAGTGCTCATAAACAGTTAAAAAAGAAAAGAAAAACTAGATGTAAACAGTACGATCAATACTATTTTATATAAAAAAAAATACACCAATACCACGTTTTCTGTAGTGCATATATAATGTAGGTTTAAAAAAAAAATGGCCTGGAAGGATGCATGACAGATTTGTAGGAGAGGTTAGTTACCTAGGAGGATGGAGGGTGGGAATTTGGACTGGAAGTGAACCTAGGCGACTGTGGCTTTTTTGAAATGCTCTACTTATCTCTCCACAGACTGAAACCGAGAGCTCATTTTTGAAAAGGATTTTAGTCCTCACAGATAATTTGGAAGCCATGGAAACATTTGAAGGAGAAAATTTAAAAATTATTTAAGTATATATATCACCCAGGGAAAGCTGCAGTTAAATTTTGATATATTTCCTGGTATTAGTTTAAACATATCTAAATTAGGATCATTCTGCATTTGGTTTTACATCCTGATTTTTCCATGTAATATTATATTTGGAACATTTTTCCATGTCATTTAGAATTCTTTGAAAAAAGCAACTTAAAATAATATTTCTTCTAGATAAAAATGTACCAAATAACTCTATTGCCATTGGGGTTTTAGGTTATTCTTAATTCCTCACTGTTCATTTACCAATAATCCATTGAATACTTAATTCTTGCATTGTCAGAACCTGTTAGTAGAATAGAAAAAACCTTCTGTCACAGAGCTTTTTTTTTTTCTTTTTTTGTTTTTTCCCAAATGTAATTCGGTCAGAAATGTGTGCAGGAACAGTTGCTATCTTTAAGTTTTCTATTGTGCATATATAATGTATGTAAAAATAAAAGGTCTGTTATTAAGGAATGAGCAGATCAAAAGATATGGAATGTCTTAAGACTTTTGATGTTGCTAAACTGTGTACCAGTAAGGCTGTACCAATTTACTTTCCCAGCAGCAATCTGTTTTACCATTTCCTAAAATCTTTGGAAATAATTTCTTTACCTTGCTTTTATTATTGAATCAAACATTTTTCTCTTCCTGTCTTACTAAAATATGCATGCATTCCCAGCTTTGTTCCTTCCCGATATTACACATTTCTCAGTGGTGCTGGGTTAATTTTTCATCTTGTGCACTGTCCACATGATTGATTGCCCACATCTCCACTTCCCTCCAGTCAGAGCTGACTGTTCATGTACTGCTTCCTATACAACCGGAAGCATGGGAGTTAAAAATTACAAAGTATATATAATTTAAAGAATTATTGAGAAATTTCATACATACTCAAAATACAATGAAACCTCACATACTTAAAATCAGAATCAGCAATTACAATTATTGCCATGTTTGCTTCATTTAACTCCCTTAATTTTATATCTATTTGTTCAAACATTTTAAAGTTGTAGCCATTATATTGTTTTTACAAGTGTGTCCGGAATGCTTTTTGCTTGCTATACAGGCAGTCCTCGGGTTACTTTGGACTCGACGTACGTTGCTTTGTGGTTACACTGCCATCTCCATTTATTTAAAAAAAAAAAAAATTCTGTCATTTTAATGTATGTACACTGTGCTTTGTTTTTTATTATTTATTTACAAGGTCAGGAATTGTTATCTTTCTTTTAAGTCCTTTTTTACTGTTTCACTACATTACTGCTGTGTAAGTGCTTCATGTGAGTGACATAGGTGCTCATGTAGGTGGGTTTCGACTTACAGTGAAAATCGTGTTACATAGCCCCAACGTACAGATCTGACGTAACCCAAGGATCTATTGTATTCCGTCCTTTTACTCCATTCTCAGCAGTTAAAATCTTTGGGGTTTTGTCCTCTCCTTTTACTTCGGAGGGTGGGGCTTTATACTTGAAGCTGCTAACTATAGAGAAAAAAACCTTATTATAAGCTGGATAAATAAATGCTAAACAAAGCTATTGGGGAAAAAGGTATGATAAAAATATCTCCTATCACTGTTTCTAAAGCAAGTCTTAATGGACAAATGTTTCAACAAGTAAATTTCAACTGTTCTCAGCTGTTATTAAAGAAATTATGTGGCTTACTCTACCCACTGCTGTACACATTCAAACATTAGCTCGTTGCTAAAAGAACAAATTTAACCAATCAAGTAACGTGATTCCTTGTATCTATTTTCTCCCCATTTCATTTTTTCTATTTTCCCCATTTATTGATTTTAGAAAGGGAAACATTGATTTGTTGTTCCATCTATTTATGCATTCATTGGTTGATTCTTGCATATGCCCTGACACGTTCAAACCTGCAACCTTGGAGTTTTAGGATGATGCTCTAATGATTCCACATGTGTCAAACACAAGGCCCGCGGGCCAAATCCGTCCCGCCAGGCCTTGCAATGTGGCCCGCACCGCGCTGTCATCACTGCACTCCGCTGCGTTTCCATCACAATGACAGTTTATGACTGTTCAGTAAACCATTCGGCCCTCGATTTAGGCTGGATTTTAGATTTTGGCCCCTTCTCTGATTGAGTTCGACACCCCTACATCAGTTGAGCTACCCAGCCAGGGTCTTATTTTTTTCTATTTCTAATTAACTATAGTGATAATTTTTAGTAAGCTAAACTTAAATGAACAAACACTCCCACACTGAGTAGACTAGAGAACAGAATTTGTCAATAACTTATACAACAAATAATTAAGCAGATCATTGGTAAGGACCTGCAGAGGGAGCTGGTACTTCTGACTGGAGTGATCTAGGGCCAATTACATCCTATTCTGAGGGAGAAGAGCTCCTTGGCAGCAATTTGAAAGCTTCAGGTCCTCAGGGTCTTGTCCCTTAGCCATAGGATTTGTGTCCAGGTGCATCCTGGAGACAAGTAGGAGCCGTCATTGCAGGGTGTGTTTTACTTCCTTCTAGGCTGAGGTCTCAGCCCTGCAGGGGACTGGAGGCTGCAGGCAGGCAGCAGTTATTGCTACCCTCTCGTCCTGGCCAGGAACACCACCTCCCTCCAGCAGTACCTGTGAACTTACCCGCACTGCCCACACTTGAACCCAGCATTGGCCCTCCCTGGGCTCTTCTGGTCCAGGCCAGGTGAATGAGGCCCAGGCATCTCCAGGGTTGGGTCAGGTATGCCAACCCCAAAGCATCTGGTCAGCCTTTGGAAAGGAATACGGTGTGCAACTAACTATACTCACTAGTAGTGGTAGATGGAAACCAAGCACAGCCAGCCTATTTAACATTTAAATATACCAAATTAACAAGGTGTTCATAAACTTACACAATGCTGTCAAATACGTCAGTTAAAAAGAAGCTGGCCTCTACACTCCTGTGGAAATAGATAACCGCTCACACATTTGAAAGGATAAACATGTGAAATGAGCAGCAGGGGAAATGCCACACACATGAAGCTGGATGAGGAATGCAAGTTTGAACAAAGCAGAAGTGAGACACAGGGTTTCCTTTAAGAATTCATTTTGATCTTATGGGAAGCCCAAGAACATTTTCCTAACACCCTAACCCTAACCTAACACTAGGATATGGTTAGATAGAAATCAACTTGTATTTAACTAATTCTACCAATTGCAGTTTCTCAGACTTAAGGCTAATGAGCCTCATTGCAGATAAAATCCACCCTCCCCCCCCCCCATACAAATTTTTAAACAATTCATGGGTAATGAACCCCATGGACTCAATACCCAGCTTTAACAATGAAAACACAACCCATTTGACCATTACTACCCATTCACTTTGTTCTTTGTAGTAGAAAGTCAGTCTATCAGTTACTGACAAACTCAGGACCCACAACACTTTATATAACTGGTCTTCCCTTGAACAAGCTTTTCTTCTATGCCTGAAATCCACTTTATTAAATGACGTAATGCCTAAATTTTGCTGTCAACCATGGAAGCTACATGGATACTGACCTTTACATACTAAACACCAGAGCAGGGAACAATTTGATAGTATTTATATTGGGTCCAAAGATGTATCCAAGGTGATTTCTGCCAGTTTAGAGATTTGTTTTATTTTAAAAAATATATATTTTTATAGATTTCAAAGAGTGGCCCGAAATCCTGGCATGTGCCTCCACCAGGAATCAGAACCTCGACTTCCTGGTTCATAGGACGAACCTCAACCACCTAACAAGGCCAGCCAGGCAATTTAAAAAAATATATTTCATTGTTGTTTTTTTTTTTTTAGAGGGAGAGGGATACTTAGAAACATCAATCAGCTTCCTCCTGCACACCCAACCACTGGGGATGTGCCTGCACAACCAAGGTACATGCCCTTGACCAGAATTGAACCTGGGACCCTTCAGTCCACTGAGCCAATGCGGTTAGGGCCAATTTTTTAAATTTACTGTTTTGTTTTTTCAGTGGTTTGGGGGGGGAGGGAAGGGGGTAACAACTCTGCTATGAATACCATTTCCTCTAGAGAATTCTGAATTAACCGTTTTCCCAATCTCCTAAAATTTTAAGTTATACAATACGTCTGCAGTAAGGAAAATTAAGACAAAAACATTTTAGGCATATGAAAATTTATTACTGTGATTTCACCATCAAAACTTAGGATCTTGGTCTTTCCTTCTTGCCTTTGTACAAGGCCAAGAGAGACACATTGGCTACTTTGACAACCTTAAAGCGAACTCCAGGAATGTCACCAACAGCATGACCTTTGCGACCAAATCCAGCAACCAGAACTTCGTCATTTTCCTGGAATAAAATTAACAGTTTATTTTGGTATCAGTAACAACCACTAAAAATATTCATCATATAAGATAACTGGGGGATACAGCCCCAGGAACAGAAGCTAGAAGACTTAAAAGCACTTACCTCAATGAAATTCAAACAACCATCATTGGGTACAAAGGCTGTGATTTTTTTGCCGTTTTTGATCAGCTGGACTCTGACACACTTCCTGATAGCGGAATTTGGCTGTTTGGCTTCAACCCCTCTGAAACAGAAACAGCACAAGAGTTGATTTTCTGAAAGGGGATACATTTTAGTCCATTAAGCACCTAAGCACAAAACATATTAGTCTGTATGGTCTCTACCTTTTCTATCTATTCCTAAATTGCTAAATGCCTGTGGTTTCAACCATGTATCTCCTGTCTTAGTGTCATTGGCACAACTGGAGACACCTGACCCTCTATAAAATACGAAAACAAGATAAATTCTGAATTTAACACTCCACTGTCACTAAACTTGATTGGATAGATTGATCTTATGAAGTAAAAACCCGTTTGAGTACTGTCAATTCATGTGATGTGGTTCAACTTTAGCAGTAAATCTCAGGCAAGAAACTCCAGTTTTCTCAAGGAGGTGTGATTGGTTCCATTTTAACAAGTTCACGGATGTCAACAGCTTAGAACAGTTCACACACACACTGCGACTGGTCCCCTATTTCTCCCCTCCAATCCCTTCAAGCTAATAATGTTGAGGTATCAAAACCCTTGGTCTTCTAACCTCCGAACCCTCATTTACCAACTCTCTATAGTGTATGTATAGCATAAATTCATGCATTTAAAAAAGTTATGATTGTGTAACTTTTTTAAATGCATGAATTACCAGAGTAAAATAAAAGACGGTGAACTTTTACTTACACTTTTTCCAGCACGATCCCCTTTGCATGGGAGGCGCCACCGAAAGGGTTGGCCTTCAGGGCCGTGCCCAAATGGGCCTTCTTGTACTGCTTGTCATGCCACTTCTGATCCCGCCGGTGGCTGCGGAGCTTCCGGGCAGTTCGGAGACCGCGACACTTGCCTACAAACCACAACAGTCGCCTTAGTTCCTCCGGAAAAGCGTCCTTTGTCAGTGTCTCCTAACTCCCGGGACGCTAACCTCAGCTGCACACGCCGGGGAGCTCTGACACCCTATCCTGGCACATGGCCCAACACTTCAGCTTCCCTTAAACCAACTCAGAGGTGGGCACATGCGCTCCAATGGGTGCATCTTCCCAAAGGGCCCGACCCCGCGCCCAGGCTCAGAGCAGCGCCGGCAGCCCCGCTTCCCCAACTCCGCGGCCCGGGCCGCACGGGGCCCCTCCGGCTTCGGCCCATGTGGCTGCGGGCGCCGGGCCTCCCGCCTCAGTCCTCACCCCCCGCCCCGGCGTCCTCCTCTCCGCTCCGCTCCGCTCCCACCCGCCCGCTGCCCCTGGGACCCCCGGCTTCTGCCTGCGATCGCCTCCGCCCCGCGGGGACTACTCACCCATCCTGCCGGCGCCACGGGCCTGAGCGAAAGAGAGAGGGAGGCCAGGAAGGAGCCACAAGCCCCCGCGCGCAGGCCCCGCCCCGCCAAGGACCCTGGCGGCTGTCTGCGCCGCGCCTGACCCGAGTCTGGAGCCTCTCAGTGGAAAGAGACAAATGTGCACCACTTTCCAGAACCCACGTCTTATCTAACCTTTTTGACATTCAGCGATATATAACTTAGGTCGGTGTTTGTTTCTTTTTATGTGGATGCCGGAGGCAAAAGGAACGAGGACCCGCTCACAGGATGGCACTGGCGCGGTCGGCAAAGCCTCGGGGGCGGGGCTTGGCGGCGCGGGGCGGAGGAAGGACGCGGAGTGCGGGCCACGTGCTCATAGTGTGGAAACTTAGACCTCTGCGCCTTAAAGCCCAATTCGCAAGCAGCATGGTAAATGGAAATCGTTTTAAGTGAAGCCATGTGATGTAATTAAAAACCCAAGGTTTAGCTGAAGCCGATTTGGCTCAGTGGATAGAGCATAGGCCTGCAGACTGAAAGGTCCCAGGTTCGATTCTGGTCAAGGGCATGCACCTTGATTGCAGGCACATCCCCAGTAGGAGGTATGCAAGAGGCATCTGATAGACGATTCTATCTCATGATGTTTCTAGCTCTCTCTTCCTCTTTGTAAGAAATCAGTGAAATATATTTAAGTAAAAAATAAAAACCCAAGCTTTGGAAGTAGACCAGGCCTTAAACCCCAAAGCTGCCATTTACTGGTTGTGCGACCTTGGGCAATTCATTTAATTAACTCTTTAAATCTCGGTTTGTTTTGCAGAGTAAGAGTTTGTTGCGATTTTGGTTCATCCCAGAACTATTTTTTAAATGGTGTTCTCTGTGCCAGGCATTGGGAATACAACAGGGAACAAGGGAGGGAAGGTTACTCTTACAAAGTTTCTATTCTAGATGTGAGAAGGCAGGAAATAGGTTATATTTTTAAATAAACAAGGTAATTTATATTTATTTATAAACACTAGTAATTAGTGTTATAGAGAAAATATAACTGGTTAAGGTGATACTAACATGGGGATGAGATTGGCTACTCTTGATAGGGTTGCTGAAGAAAGCATCGTGGTGAACCCTACAGTTGAGCTGAAATCCCTAAAGAGAGGGAGCCCCATAGGCCAGTAGAGTGGGTAGATCCTTCCAGGAAGAAGAGTTCTCTCTACGTAGAAGGAGCTGGAGCTTTTCAGGAACCGAAGGACCAGGACAGAGGAGCTCTGTGAATGAGGACTGTTTTGCTGGTTGAGACTGGAGTGGAGTCAATAGAGTGGGAAAGAGAAGGAAGTGTAGACAGTAACTAGAGATAGATTTTGCAAGGAATTTTTTTTTAATTGATTTTTCACAGAGAGGTAGAGAGAGGGATAGAGAGTTAGAAACATCGATGAGAGAGAATCGTCGATCAGCTTCCTCTTGCACACCCCCTATTGGGGATGTGCCGGCAACCAAGGTACATGCCCTTGACCGGAATCGAACCCGGGACCTTTCAGTCCGCAGGCGGACGCTCTATCCACTGAGCCAAACCGGTCCCGGCAGGAATTTTTCTGTAATGTGTAGAGGAAAGGGGCTATATCTGAGGAGAGCTGTGGGACCCAGGATAGGTTTGTTTTGTGGCATTTTTGTATGCTGGTGGGATTGCCCCAATAAGAAGAAATAGATAACTCACTTAGAAAGGATAACTGCAGGAGCAAGTCCTTGAATGGACTAGAGGGGAGTCCAAGTGGAGGAGTTGACCTCAGAGTAATAATAATTTTTCTTTCGTAGTACAGAAGGCAAAGTATAACTAAGTAAATTGGAAGGTTTGTTCATGGGAAGATGTAGAACTTCAGTTTTGAGCAAAGTCATCAATAAAGAGAAAGAGCAGGAAAAAGAAGTTTGAGGAGAGAGGGTACGATGTGAAATCATTGTCTAGGATAGCAGTGCTAGCATTAAATAGTACTTTTTTAGGTGCCCTACATTTATTAATTCATTTAATTCTCACAACACTAAAAGTAAATACTTTTAGTACCCCTGTTTTGCTGAGGTATAGATACTTAGTCTATTTGGGTTGCTGTAATAAGTGACCATAGACTGGATGGCTCATAAACAACAGAAATTTATTTATCACAGTCTGGAGACTGGGAAATCCAAGATCAAGGAGTGGACAGATTCAGTACCTGTTAAGAGCCCTTCTTGTTCATAAATGATTCTTATTTTGCTATTATATAACCTCAAATGGCCCGAAGAGCCAAGGCAGCTCTCTGGTGACTCTTATTTACTTTTTGTTTTGTTTTTTCAAATTTTATTGAGATATAATTGACACATTGGGATCTCTTTATAATCCCATTTATGAGGGCTTATGACCCAATCACCTCCCAGTGGCCTTGCCTTCTAATACCATCATCTGACCCTGGCCAGTGTGACTCGGTTGGAGCATTGTCCAGTGCACCAAAAAGTTTCGGGTTTGACTCCTGGCCAGGACACCCCAAGGTACATATCTGTCAATGTTTCTCTTCCCTCTCCCCTCCTCCCCTTTCTCTAAAAGAAAAAAAATTGGTAATCATGTCCTTGTTGAGGATTAAAAACCAAACCAGATAGGGATTAGGTTTCAACATATGTTTTGCCTTCTAATCTAGGAATGTGAAAAGATAAATTGACAAAGGAATGTGAGATTATTGAACAGTTCTGAGGGCCAGTTTGAAACTAGCTATGAAGTTACATAAATCAGCATGGTTTTGTATCTTCTTCCGGTTCATTCACTGTAGTGACTGGGTAGATGGAGAGTTGGATTTTACCAGGGTTTGGGGGAGGATCTAGACAGGAGTCTGGGATAACATTCTAGCCAACTGAGCCACACCAGCCAGAGCAAGAATAAAATACTCATAATTTGCATGTCCATGGGTTACTAGAATTATATGGAAACCAGTAGACACCTTGTCCCCAAAGAATAGGGTATATGGTTCTTGAAATGTTGGGGGAGAGGCAGGAAGGAGAACAAGTTTCCCTCTTTCCTAGTATTTCCTTCCAAGTAGAAGGATTTAAATTAGTGTAACTCCTTATTTCTCTGCCAGTTGACTCATCCCAAGCCAGGTGAGGAGGGGTGACATCTGTGATAAGTTGAGGAAGCTCTTCTTTATTGCCTTGTGGGGACCCAGCTTGCCCACTGAGTGTTTTTCCTGGTTCTCCTGGGGCAGGCTTCTCTTCCCTATGGAGAGTCCAGCGATTCCAGGATAGTCTTCCATGTCTGTCTTCCAAGGAAAGGGATTTAGTTACAATCCATCTTGTTCCTGCACTGAACTTTGCCCTCCATTCTGGCCTTCCACAGTGATGGAGGTGGTATTTGCTTCTCCACTTATCTTACCCTTAGTTTTATTTCTGTTGGTTTAGCACTCAGGTGGGGAAGTAGGGTATTATTATTTGATTTCTCTTGGAGCCTACCCCTGTCAACTAAGAAGAAAGATTGATATTTTGAAATTAGGCCAGTTGATGAGGAGGTTTAGGCTAAGGGTGATGCCTTCACACAGTGTAGGGGAGAAGCTAGCTTTTCCGAAGGATCCCAGAAGTTTTAACACTGCTGACAATTGATAGTGGAGCATATAGAATAGTTGGAAATAATTCCTCGTGCTGTAGCTGTAAAAATTGAGGCATTAGTTGCTATGGAAATGTGACAGGAAGTTAACAGCTTTAAGTGAGGAAAAGGAAGCAGTAAGAGTGAGACCCATAATTACATGCTCTGTATAAATACTAGTGATGAATATTGAGTGCCTCATTTTACCTGATTAAATTATTAAACATAATTTTTCCGCTATCCAAAATGAGATCTCTTATCTTCTCATTCTCACTACTTTTTGGTACAGTGGTTATTTCTTCTTATATCTATTCCAAGGTGGAACTAAAGAAATATGTATGTAGTGCCATGTAATCTTATTAATATTCAGGCCTGATCTTTAAAATCCTTGCTATTATAATTAAACCTCTGTGTAGGATCTACGGGGGCTTGACAATGCTGTTTTTTGATATCCTTTTGTGATGTTCCGGGGAGTTATCATTTTAATATGCATATTAAGTTATTCCTCAGGTCTTCTCTACCTTGGCTGAAAACCAAACAAAAGAACAGGCTTCTATTTCAGCAGGAGGCTTTGAGTTATAAGAAATTAAAGATAATTTTTTCTCACTAGGAAAAGAAAGATACTGTTACTTCCTGGAATATTATGTTTTAGAATCTCATTCCCTGGAGAGGTTTTAGAATCTGGTTGACAGGCCAGATCTGTTCTGTCAGTGAGGTCAGTGGGGACTAATTGATCTATGGTGATGAGGAATGGCTGGAGGTCACTCATGTAGCCTTTGCATTCCTCAATAAAATGAAAATTCACCAGGATTATTTCTGGACTAGAGGCCTGGTGCACAGATTTGTGCACACTGAAAGGAAATCAATTAGAAGAAATATTTTAGAGGTTGGGGAGAGACTGGGAGAGGTTGGCTCCAGGGCATGTCTGGCCTATCTCACCCAGTCCTGATTGTCTGGACTCCAGCAGCAAGCTAACCTACCTTTTGGAGCATCTATCCCCTAGTGCAATGTTTCCCAAACTTTTGACATATGTGTACCTCTTCTATAATTTTTGTAATGCTGAGTACCCCTTGTACTCATGAGAACGTAGAATTAGGCACAGCTAAGCACAGTGCAGTGCATATCCCCACCAAACTCCGGTGCAACGTGTACCCCCACCAAACTCTTCCCGTACCCCTGGGGATACGCGTACCACACTTTGGAAAACACTGCCCTAGTGGTCAGTATGCATCATAGTGACTGGTCGAACAAACGGTCAGAGGGACAATTAGCATATTAGGCAATATATATATATATATATATATATATATATATATATATATATATATATAGCCTAATATGCTTATGTAAATATAAATATAAATATATACATTATATATATAAAATATATATTATATATATAAAATATATAATATATATATTTATATTTGTAATAATATGTAAATTATAGCATAAATTTAAAAACTATAAAAGTAAATGAAAACTTTTGAGTGTTTTATACTACAAAAGAGAAAAAAGGAGGAGTGAGAAATAAAATAAGAAAGGAAGGAAGAAAAGAAATGAGGTGTTTTGGACAGGAATAATTTTTCCACAGGCTTAAAACCATTATCTTTTTATTTTGTTCCTAGCAGTCTTTACTAATTATGAAACTAACCCAAATGAATGAATCTGTAACCAGTTTATAGGTATCATTTTTAACACTATGAATAATATGTTCATGTGCCAATTTTAAAACTTACTTAAGTTTTAAGTTAAATTTTCCAAATTTAATTACTTAGCACACAACATCTTGGATTTTTACTGAGTAGTTGGACACATTGCTCTCTATGAAATTAAGTGTGCTAATTAATTTCTGTCCAAAGAATTCATATGGCTCTTCTTATAACTGATGGCTTAAAGTATAGGGCATATATTCTCATACATATATTCTCAATATAAATTTTGTTTTAGTGAATTTTAACTCTGATTCCTGTCTGTTGAGGTGGGAAACCTGCAGGTACTTGGTGGAGTGGTGGAGGCCTCTTTCTCCCTAGGACCCAGTTCTGTTAGGTTCTCCCTGTCCCACAAACCCGCCTTCCAGTCCATGCCTCTATCATTACACCACATTTGTTATCTAGAAATCCCTTTCAATGAAGGTCTTTTGTACTAAAAGTAAAAGAACTTACTTTAAGCTGTGTTAAGAATAAAAACCAAATTAGTAGCTCATAGATCCCAGCACCAAGGGGTGTATACTGACCTCATGAAGTGAAGGTCACTGGTTTCCTAAGTACAACATCCTAAAGGTGTTCAACCAGCAGTTATGTGTTCACATTTCTACACATCACTGGGCTGGGAGCTTCTTGGGGGCTAGGACTGGGTCTTTTTTGCCTAGTACTCCTGACTTCTAGCACATGACAATAAATGTTTGTCTAATGGGCAAATTTATGAAGGAATAGGCTTCCTATCTCAGTTTAGCTCAAGAGCCAGGAATGTAAATATGAGCCACTGATTTGTTACATTATCCATGTTCCAAGAAGTCAAAAGGGAATCTAAAGTAAGAAGCATTGATATTTAAATCAAAAGCACTTATAAGTATTTAATTTACTAACTTGGTTCTAATCAGCTCAGAAGTTGATTTGATGAAAATTGGTAGAAATCATGGCAGCAGTTAGGCTGTGAACTTGATATAGAGTCTGCACCACAAAAAAAGGAGGAGGAGGAGTCGTCATTGTCTGCATTAGTCTGAATTCTCCAGAGAAAAAGAGAGAATAGGAGATACATATTTATTTATGTACCCATTCATCCATCTATTCATCTGCCCATCTATCCATCCATCCATTTGTTCATTCATTATAGGAATTGGCTCATGCAATTATAGAGGCTGAGAAGTCCCAAGATCTGCAGTCAACAAGCTGAGACTCTGGAGAGCTGAGGGTGTGGTTCCAGTCCTCGTTTGAGTTTGAAGGCAGAAGACTGATGTCCCTGCTCCAGGACAGGTAAAGAGAGTATAGTCTCCCTTTCTCCATCTTTTTGTCCTATTCAGACTTCCAGTGAATTAGATGAGGCCCACTCACATTGGGGAGTGCAATCTGTTTTACTTAGTCTACTGATGCAAATATTAATCTCATTGAGAAACCTCCAGAAACACTCCCAGATAATGTTTAACCGAATGGGCAACTCCTGGTCCAGTCAACTTAATACATAAAATTAACCATCACAGATTCACACCCCCCAGTGAGGAACAAGAAGTACAAATATACTGTGGTAATTTTCTAATGAACTGATGTAACTTGGGTTTTGTCCGTTTGCATTTTCAAATTACTGAATTAAAAAAAAAAAATATAAAGAGAGAGAGAGAGAGAGAGAGAGAGGGAGAAGAGAGAGAGAGAGAGAGAGAGAGAGAGAGAGAGAGAGAGAGAGAGAGAGAGAAAGAGAGAGAGAGAGAGAAATATCAATGATGCAGCTGCCTCCTGCACACCCCCTACTGGGGATCGAGCCCACAGCCAGGCACGTGCCTTTGACCAGAATCAAATCCCGACTTTTTAGTCCACAGGCTGATGCTCTATCAGCTGAGCCAAACTAGTTAGGGCCAAACTACTAGATTTGATGGAATACTTGAGGTAGTTGATTTTTCTAGTTACAGTTGCCTAAATATTGAGGCCCTGGGAGTCATAACCATGAGGCAGGAAGTGGTAATTAATTATGTGACATATCTAGTACCTTTTATTGAGCACCAGCTTAGCCTCTAGGTTTATTTCAGTTATTTAGACACAATCCCTGCCCTCAAGGAGCCAGGCCTTCTGGTGAGAAAATGCACCGTAAATAAGCAACAGGAAAATAAATGTCTTACTACAAGTAGTGAAGAGAATTATGGGAAATAATTATGGTGAGAGTGAAGAGAATATAAAGGGAAAGTTAGAGCAGAGCCACCGATGTGCAAAAAAGCTTGGCATGTGGAGGGTGTTGAAAGCTGAGTGTCAGCCAGTGCTGGAGGATGGTGGGGAGAAGGGCTGGCATAAAACGAGGCGAGGGAGACCAGCGAGGGCCATGTCCTGCAAGGTTTTGTAGGAGGGGGATGGATTTGGATTTTGAATCAGTGTGCAAAGACCTTTATAATTCATTTGAACAACTGACTAATATGATTTTTCAGTCTGAGAATAATTGGATGAATAGAGATTGGTGGTCTGGCAAATGCTAAATGCTCCTTAAGACATATATTTGCCCCATGAGAACATACTTTAATATGATTATGGGAAGATTGATTTTTATAATCAAACTTCCAGGTAACATTTCATTTAGCAATATATGGTAAATCCGAAAAGGAAGCAAAACCAAGGTGTTTTCGGTCTGAAAGAAGGCAGCATGTATATATAACTTCCTGTTCTCTTGTGTAGATTGCTGGGGGGATATTTTACATGTGCTTGTGCATTTTCTGCATATCTTGTGAGTGAGTCACTAACTGCTCCTTGTTCTGGAATATCTTTAAAATGTTTGTATAGTGAATAATTGAAAGGTAAAAATGATATCTTCTTTGGTAGCAAACAGCAGGTTTGCTTATAGCCTTGGAAACTCAGGGCTTTTCTCTCCTAGTGAAACCCACTGCTCAGCATCTGAGCAGGCAGGTACCATGCCAGGCAGGTGCTACCCTAGTGCTTTACAGCCTGCAAGCTATCATATTAGCATTTTTTGTTACTGCTTTTTTCCTCCAAAGTCACAAGATGAGCTATTCTCAAACAATCACATCTTAACTGTGACTGCTATTCTAAAACACGTGTGAAATCTAGTAGCTTCTAAATATTCTGCCTTAAATATTCTTAACCAAGTGGGAGAAGACTTCAACAATAGAAAAGTGCTATATTAAAATTTTAGCATCATCAAGTCATGACATATATTAAAATGGCACTTGACTTAAAATAAAAAATGTTATGCGTATGCTTATGCATGAAAATATAACTGAAGCAGATTTATGTAATGTTAAGGACTAAGAAACTAAGGTTTCTGAGTGTTCACAGAACCATTATCATCACAGAACAGGATCACCATGTACTTGCTCTCCCAACTCCTCCTGATCAGGGATTGGGTAGCCATGTGGTTAAATACAGCTGCTACTCTCATTGGGGACCACGAACTCCTGCTCTGGCGACTGGAGGAGATGTTCTGTATTTGCCCAGACCAATAGATTGGCCACTGGCCACACATAGTTCCTGAGCACTTGAAATTTCGGTTAATCCCAATTGAGATATGTATAAATGTAAATTATACACCAGATTTCAGACTAGAAAAGGAAGATAAATATCTCATTAATAATTTTTAAAATAATTATGTTTGACATAATATTTTAGGGTAAATAAAATAAACGGTGAAGCAAAAATAGGTTTACAGTTGTATGGAAAATATCAAAAACAATTAATAAGTCATAATACCAGAATAAACTCTGTTGTTTCATGTGCAAAGGTAGCTTTACAGTTTCCATACAACAACTGTAAACCTACTTTTGCCCCTCCCGGTATATTATTACAACTAATTTAAACTGTTTATTCTTACTTCTTTCAATGCGGCTACTAGAAAAATTTAAATCACATATGTAGCTCTCCTTATATTTCGGTTGAACAGTGCTCTTCTAGGTCCTTGCTAGAAGGACAATCTTTAGGTAAACAGCATCAGCACCATCTGGAAGAGAAACAAAGAAGCTCATAAATGCCCCCCTCCTGGCTTCCCAGACCTATTGAATAAGATTTGAATTTTATTTTTTTTTAATATATATTTTATTGATTTTGTACAGAGAGGAAGAGAGAGGGATAGAGAGTTAGAAACATCGATGAGAGAGAGTCATCGATCAGCTGCCTCTTGCACACCCCCTACTGGGGATATGCCCACAACCAAGGTACATGCCCTTGACAGGAATCGAACCCGGGATTTTTCAGTCCCCAAGCCGACGCTCTATCCATTGAGCCAAACCGGTTTCAGCAAGATTTGAATTTTAACTAGTCATTGAAGCAAGAAAAGGCATGCCATCTTGTGGCAGCCATCTTGTGGCAGCCATCTTGTGACAGTGTCGCAGAAGCCATCTTTGAAGATGTTGCACGACGCCACTCAGGCTTTTATTATATACGACACTGCTATTTAGGGCCTCATTTAGTCTTCACAATGATTCTTTGAGTTAACTACTTTTGTCCCCACCTGCAGATGGAAACACTAGGCTCAGGAGGAAAAGGAACTTTTCCAGTATCACATAACTAACTAGTCAAAACTGGAGCTGGGAATGCCCTGGAGTGCTGCCCGACTCCAAAGCCAGTGTTCTTTACTATTACATTTCATCTTTCTCAGCAAATGGAGTCATGAAATGCAGGATGAAAGTATGAACTAGGATACAAGTAAAATCAGGTAAATTTTAGGATTTTCACTCTTTTATTTACCTGAAAAATGCTTGTAATAATGTATAGTTTTTGGATTTTTTGAAGAGAATTTAATAGCTTCCTGCAAAACAGTATGAGATTCTTATTGAGTTAGAGTATCAAAACAATGCCAATTTCTAAACAGAGCTTAATTGGCAGATTTTCCCAATATTTGCTCCCTAATAAGCTGTTGTTGAGAAAACTAACCTAAATAGACTCATTGGTTTCTCCCTGTTTTTTTGAAATCCTGATTTCAAATTAACCAGTATCAGGCTCCTCCTTTTACCCTCCTCCATATCTAATACATCCTAGGAACATTTCCTTTTTATTGGTTAATTATGTGGTCAGTCACATAGTATGAAAAGTACTGCCTCTGCTCTGTTTGCATTTATGCATTAACAAATGTGCTTGGTTTGAAGAAACGGAATCATTTCTTGATGGGAAGAAAAATCTTGTTCAGTTTTTTACTTATTTTTGTATGTGTGGGATTTTCACTAACCTTGGAACAGATATTTGCCAGGAAGAATGTAAGGTGAGAAATTGCATGTCTTTTAATGCAGTGTGTCTGGGAACTTCAGTGTAAATGTGGCCCTAGGTGGCGTATATATTTTTATATTGTTACACAGCTACATTTGTTATTCAAAATATACATTAGATATTTTAGATATACTAGATTAGATAATTCAGAACCTACTAAAATCATTGAACTAGAATTTATAAATAAGAGATAAAAATATAATCTTTATTATAAAAGGGAAGAGTTATTTGTTCAAGATACTCAGGAGACATTTGTATTATGTGCCAAGATATATTATTTCTGAAAAAATTACTTAAATCAGTGTTTAGATTTCTTTTATACTTACAAGTAAATGTTATTTTCATATTTCTCCTGGCAGTATTATGTGATAAGAGAGTAAGGAAAATATTTAAAACCTCAGAAATATATAACCTGTTCCTCACAAAAAGGTGTTAAATAATTTTAACTGGTAGGAGATAGTAATTGTGTGGAGTACATAGTATTTAAAATGAACAAGCAAAATTTTTATTTGTTTTATTTGTCCTTTTTGCTTCTTTCCATACCATTTAAGGGGACACATAGAGATTGTTCTGTAAGGAATAATATTCAGAACCTGAATTATTCATTTCAACAAATAAATTTAGGATGAATACAAAGGACGGCAGCAAGCAGGATGATTTGCCAAAACCGTGTTAAAGAATTCTTAAGTCAGCAGCTGATTAAAAACCTTAAGCACATACATTTTTTAAATTTGTTTTTCCTCATTGTTTTCAAATCAATTAGTACTTCCTTTAGGTTCACCTTCTAATAATAAGTGACCTATAATCCTTAGGTGATTATAGTTAACAATCTTTCCTCACCTGGTTTATACAGAAATGACTGACTTTGTATATTATCACATTGGTAAAATATACATAAAAAACTATAGAAATCCCACTTCTTTTTTTGAAACAGGGTTAATGTGTTTAAATAATCTAGCCTCAGAAAGGATTCTAGAAATCTCATAAGTCAGTGATCATTTGAGTGTAATATATGGCATATTATTTCATTACTGAGGCCTGGTGCATGATTTTGTGCATGGGTG